TAATAGAAACATGTACAATTTAAAAACATTTGATACTAATTCAAAAAATTATTAAATTATAATTATTGATTAATTATTAAACTGAATTTTATATAGTTACATTCTTTTTTATACTCTTCAAAGAAATGTTTAATATTAGAAATTACATTGGCACTGACTTTCCTGAAATTTACGTCTATTACAAAAACATAATTGTAGTAATTAATCATTGTAACAACCTTGCCTTTTAAGTACTCAAAGACACTAAAGTGTAATAAAAATAATAAAATTATAAAATTCAGTTTAATAATTGAAAACAGTAAAGCCACGACTTAACCTATCATTTGAATTTTAATTGCTCAGCTTTCTATCTTTAAAGAAATTCAATTTTTTATTAAAAATTACTTATTTTGAGTACTAAATAACAGTGCTTTTATAACTCAAAATAAATAATTAATCATTACTTTTCAATATTAAATTTCTTTAAGCATTGCTTTTAGTTATGATTTAGATTTCGAAGTCTATTCTAAGTCTTATTTGCTCATAGTGTACGAATAAAGTAATAACTTAATTCTATTCATTGTTTAAAAACATTACTATAATATAAAAGTTATATTTGAAAATATTATTATATAAAATAATCCCAAAATATAGGAAGCAAGAATTTTATGTTACAATGCATAATTTGATCAAAATGTTAAATACACGATCATAAAACACTTCTCAATACTCTGTTTTAAACAATCTATAAAATTTCTTCACTACTATAATTCTTCTTAATTAATAAAAGAAAGAAATAACGCATCTACATTTAATTAAACGCGGAGGATTGTAACGATAATTAGTAGAATCTAGTTAAGCGGGTCTCCTCGATATATTCAAGTAGAGATTGGATTTCGATTAAATGACAAAAGACGTCTGCTCTATCTCGTCGCGTAATACGAGTATAGAATATGTAGTTTTAGTCTACAATAATTGGACAAATGATCCGTACCTGTAGACTGTCGTAACAGACTTTTGCATAACATATAGGGGAGACCGGGGTCAGTTGAATATAGGTAAGTAGAATAATCGAGGTTACATTAAAAACAAAAACGCGAGACATGCGTAAACGTGTCTGAGCACGCAACAGCAACTGCCGCTAAGTCTGCTGTAACATCTTGTTGCGAACACATCTATGATAGAAGTTATACCACAATTTTAAAAAATCGTACTAAGTAAATATTTTTATTGTTAAAGTTTTGGTTTTACTATTGTATATGATTGTCTGAGATATTTGATTTTTATTTAGATAGTTCTTACTTAATAAAGTCCAACAGATTTTTTTGTCTATGTGTCTCCGTTATCGTATTATTATCGTATATTGTTAATATTTTTAAAAAATGAATGAATGGGGATAGTAGACTAACAGCATGGAACTGTATGACTTATTTAGTGACGATTCTTATAATACTTACTCAAAATTTTATTCCTTTAAAGAGGTTTTCCTCAGTGATAAATATTATAAGTTTAGTTTCCTCATGTCCAATCTCGAAAAGACTTATTCGACGTGTTTTTGCACGAAATGAACAAATTACAAAAAGAAGTATTGCTTGCCCTGCGAATGTT